CATTCTCGCATGACCAAAGATATACATTCTGATCATTAATTTGACCAGTTCTTGCTAAAATACTTCCACCGCGTTTCTTGACATATTGTTGCACGCTGCCAAATTCTTTATTGGAAATACGAATGAAATGTATCGATCTAAAGGAATGATATTTTTGCATGAATTCGTCGGGTGGATACTCGACTTCTTCAGGATTCTCGATTATTTGGAGCTCTTCACTCTTAAATAGTCGATGTGAATTACGACCCATCAAATGAGTTGTAGATTCGATTGGTCTGTTTTTGAGGTAATATAAAATAGGTTGAGATAGATTTTTGCCAACGATGACTTTCCTGATCTTATATATATGCAATGAGAAGTATGGATCAGTTTTTTTATGCATATGTTCTCCTTCTAACTCGCCTGGTTTTAATAAATACCTTACAGCTGTTCCTTTCCGTAATTGCAATTCATCCTTTCCAATAGGCCTTTTATATTTGGCAGATTCTTTAGGTATTACTTCTTTCAATGTTATAGCATGGGCTGGGCTCATACCGATTAACCGTGTTTTATTATTATTCATATAGTTAATAATTTTTTGAAGTATTTTATTCCATAATTTCAAACGTTCACCTTCTTTGAGCTTACACTCAATGGCATATTGAATTTTATATATAAGTACTGCTAAATCTTGTTTGAATTTTTTTACTAACGCTAAGCTTTCAAAGCTATAAAGGTCTACAACTCTTATAGGAACTTTGTATCGCTCCATTCCTCATAAAAATGCCCCATTGAACTCACTAGCACCGCCTACCATTAACAATGCTGGCCACGTAAGAGAATTTTTGGAATCATTGTATATTTTTTCAATCGTGTTCCAAGTTTCCAAACTATTCTTTGATGTCAATACTACTGCACATTTAAATCTCGTTGCCACGTCTATCAGTACCAAGGTATGTAAATATATTTTTCCTCTTTCCTGATCGTCATAAACATGGAGTAACAGATCACATTAATGTAATTTGTTGGGAATTCGACATTTAGAAAAGCTAGTCTGAGCCTTAATTTTGGGTGGGTGTTTATATATTTGATAATCATACTGATTTTTTAATCACTTTGCGATATCTCGACCTTGGAACCAGTATCCTTCTTTTTTGCATACCTTTTGTAGAGTTTTCACATTCGGATAAAACCCAGGAATGTTATAGTAGAGTAAATGGCAGACTAGAGCTACTTCGTCATATGGATCTATATAT